ATAATAATCTAATATAATTGTATTTATTTAGTGGCTATATATAATAGTATATAATTTTTCAAACGAGACTTTTACAATATACGTTTTTTCCATATACCGGAGACATTATAATTTTATTTATTACACACATATATACATATACATGTTAGTTGGTAACGTTAGATATTTAGTAAATGGCCAGTAGTTTTACGTTTTGAGAAGAAAATTGAAAAGAAGAGTAGTTACATTATCGACACGACGTAGTTGCGAACAATCAATTGCTACTATTTAGTTCGTACGGCGCTCGCTGGCGCTACGAGCAACTGCCCCGCTTGCCCTCCGATCCCCGCGCCTACTCCGCGAATTTTTGACGCCGTCTGTACGTAGTTGGAAAGCACCCACAAGCTAGTTTTAGAATGGCGTATGGACTAACCGTTATAGGTCCAAGAGCCACAAGCACACCAAACCAAACCAAAGGTTTGTTCTTTTTCCATACTTTGGCTGCACTAGTTCACAGTCTATCTTTTTCCTTTTAATATAGATAAAAAAAGATAGACTGTGAACTAGTGCAGCCAAAGTATGGAAAAAGAACAAACTACAAACCTAACCATACTTGCACCAAATCAAACCCAAAATAAGTGAGGCAAAGAAAGTAATAAAGAGATATCTGTGCAATTAATTATACAAATAGGAATTTATAAGGTAAGAAAAACAGATTTTTAACTTTAGGGTTAGAGTTAGGTTAACTACTAGAGAAATAAACAAAACATTGTGAGATTGTGGAAATAAATGCAAAACATTGAGGTTATAAATAAATAAGAGGGAAAAACTAAGAGATTATTCGTCAACAAACATATGTTCTCTGTAAGTGTAAAATTAACCAATACAAAGAATTTTAATTAAAAGTAATTCAACATAATAATTCACATAATATAGTAAGTGGATTAAACAGTACAGTATTAAACAAAAGATTTATATATTTAAAAAATAAGAGATTACAAATATAAATCAATTAAATATTTTAGAATTGGATAGTTAAAACATAATTCTCTCTTTTGATAACATTAAATTGCAAATACTAAATATATTAACAGAGACCATTTGTTTATATATTGCAGTACGTTTAAAGACACATATAATGTAAGATTCTCTACTATACTAGGAAAGAAAAGAAGAAAAATAGATATTTTGAAATATTTGTTTTCTATACATACAAGTCAAGCAAAAATAATTAAATATAAATATGTACACAATATATTCAAAACTAAGTAGTCTTACCAAACAAAACAATTCTAATAGTGAAGATATTATATTCTGTACAGAAGACAATTTAAAGCAATCTTTAAATGCACTAAATGAGGTAATAAAATCAAAAGATGACTAAAAGTTCTATTAAATTGTATATAAATATTAATCAATATGTAGCTCCATAGGAATTTGAATCATTTGGTATCTCGCCAATGACTATAAATAATAATGATTTAGAAACTTCAAAGTCATTAAAGAAATTATCCATAAGATTGATAAATGCTACTTGGAATTTGATATACAAACATAGATCTTTAATGCGATTACACGATCAGTTGATTGAGTCAGATCATAGAACTGTAAATGATAATGTTAACCTTAAGGTAAGTTAACCTTTACTTCAAAAAATGGATCAGTACCTAATGAAGAGCATTATTTCATGCTGCATAGAAAAGTATTAGTATGGCAAGTATGTAGAAGTAATAAGTTGCTTTTTAGAAACTGTAACAGTTTTTCTAACATATATTAACAGAATCATGTGAAGCGTTTAAAGGAAGATTTGCAAAAAAAGGAACATATGTTATTTGAATCACAGGAGAAAGAAAGAAGACTTAAGGTTCAAAATGAGACTATATTGCGCAATCTGAAACATGAAAAAGAAGAGGTAGTTCACTATAGATTTAGAATATATATGTACACAAATTGATGAGAATTTAGAAGAATTACTCTAACTCTAAACTTCTAATTCAGACACGAAAGCTGATGAAACAAGCTCATTCGAAAAATATTCAACATGAACATGAAGTAAGAAGAATTATGCAAGATGGTCAAAAACTCCAAGAGCAGTTAAAAAAATCTGCTGGTTAGTATAGATAATACATTTTCACTTTGGTAAATACATTCTCTAGCTAATGATTGCAATTTTACTGTTAAATGTGATTAATGTGGTTGTATATATATATATATATATATATATGTGTGTGTTATATTATTGCTTTTTTATATATATACACACAATCACATAAATCACATTGAACAAAAATTATATAAATTTATATATATAAATTATATGCGCGCGCGATAGAGAAAGGTCTTCTGAAAAGTATTTATTTGATAAAATTCATTTTTTAACACAAATTTAAAAATGAGAATCTGAGCAAATACATAGCTTATATGAATAAATACGTTGCTTATCTGCTAGGGATCTCACAAGCTTCAAATGTTTTACGTTGAAGATATTTCGAAGATATATTTATATTGCTAAAAGTGAAAAAAATGCATCACTCAAAAGAATATTTACATAGTTATGTACCGTTTTTAATTTTTATAGAAAATTCTACATATTATTTACTATGTAATAAAAAAGTGCAAAAATACTTTACGAATGTGAACGCATTTCATTTTGTTTGCACAGGTACCTTTGTGTCAAAATATAAAGTTTCACAAGAAATGCAGGTGGATCATGAGAAAGAAGTGGCTTTGTATAAGCAAACTATTGTTCGTTTAGAAGAAAATAACAGAAAAATGTTGGAAGAAATTAGTTCTTTAAAAGAAACTTTACAGTTATTTAAAACCGGACTTGATTTGCATATTGAATCGTCCGGATGGAACGTGAACTAGTAAAGATGCATGAACACCAAAACTTCAATTTATAATTTATTTATAACTCAAATATACAAAAAAGAAATTGTTTGAAACATGTTTGTAAAATTATACATATTAGTTTAATAATATTGCGTTTGTTGTAGCTTGATAACTTTAAGTATTCTATGTAGTTCTCAGCATATTTTATGTAGAATTTTGTTTGATCTTATTATAAATAAAAGTGTATCTTATAATATATATGCATATATTTTATTGCTCCACGTTTTTTTGGAATATGTAATAGTATTAAAAGAAGTTTCTTAATAGTGGTGCTATGAAGCATCCAAGAATGAGTATTGAAACGCACGTTTGACTGCCTTGTCCTTTGCCTTTCGGACATTCGCAGTTACCTGCTTTGCAGACCGTGTTGTTATATTTAAAAACACCACGCCAGTTCAGCGCCGCTAGCTTAAGACTCGGATAAGCTATCTCCGTCGGCAACCTGTTGTTGGTACTGTTGATGGTCATGGAAGTACTATTGATGTACGTTGCGAGACGCAGGGCGCTCTTACCATTCGCGCAGATGCCATTTATTCTGATGAAGTCACTGGCAACCACGTTCATGCTCAAGTTCGTGAAGACACTACGCTCCATGATAACATTGTTGCTATCAATAGGTAGCATTCCCGGTTTCTGTAACACGAACATGGAGTCTACAATCTCGACTTTCCGGAAATAGGCAAAGTTTATCGACGTCAAAATATTGTAGAGCTTGGTGTTCAATATGCGCAATATCTTCGATGTGCCTTTCTCGGACATGTTCAGCTTGTTCACACGTTCGATCGTGACGTTCGTTAAGATGAACTCAAACACTCTAAGAGAGCTGAAATCTCCCTCGAGTATGTCGATGTGCGCGTTCTCGATCTCAATCGTTTCGATCTTCATCAAGGAGACAAAAGTGTGTCTCGCGATTATCGGTATGCGACCGATGTTTGAAAGTTTCAGAAGCTTCATACTCCTTGACGTGATGTACACATCAAATTTTAGGCGACCGCTAATATTTTGGACTACCATCTCCTGAAGGTAGGTCGCTTCCGGTAAACTGGAATAATGAAGGTTTGCTGAAACGCATCCCGAGATCGACACGCTGGTGATATTTGCATAATTGTATTCTTCTGGTAGGACAAATTCCTGTAAAATCATATTTTAGATCTCAATTACGTTTTAATATAAAACTTTATATTTAAGATAAAATTAAATAAAAAGATATAGAAAGAGTAAAATTTACTAGAAGAGCCTTAAAATTTCTATTTGAATATAATGAAATATATATTTTAAAAAAACATATATATATATATTTTAAATATATATATATATATTTTTTTTTAATATATATATTTGTTTCTCACTGAATACTGAACGAAGACAGAATGACTTTTGTGTCGACTGTGTCTCCTAAAAGGAAAGCAGCCTTTGTAGAAAAAGTACCAGTGGTACTCTAATATTCAACTCTCATAAGTTAAAAAGTACTTAATGAAAATAAACTTTATTATAGTGTTTTGGGAAGCTCCTGAGTTAAGCTATAAGAATCTGCGATAAAAAATAGGGAGTTCCATTAAAAAAGATTGATGTGACCTTGATCTGACCTTGGCGGCGCAATCCAAGGTCACAGTAATACAAATCAGTAAATAATTAATAGATCTTTTTAAACTATACTGTTCTTGTCTGAAATACTTTTCTGTAAAACTTATATTTTCTGAGATATTCCGGTGTTCCGGTACTTTTTTTCCACTTTGTATAAACTTTGCTATAATCTCACTCCCTACGTATAATTACATAATTGTCACATAGTGGGATTTTCAGTTTATTGCATAGTGACACTTAGAAGTCATGTTCTTTATGGTCAGCAAATATTAAAAAAAAAAATTCATAAGTAAGATAAAAATTTGACACCAAAAGATTTCTTAACTAGGAAAACATATGAAGTTTTAAACTTTTAAACTGTTCTCTAAAATTTGCGTTTTGAAGTTACGGGATTATACGTAGGGAGTGACAATATATGTGTTTCTAAAACGTTTTAGTTAGGAATTTTTTAAACGTGTATAATCTGAAAGTTGTTAAAGAAACACTAATTGTGAACTTTTACAAAAGAACAATCAATATCAAGTCACATCCCGTATAGGAAAAATATTTTGTTCATTTTGTGGAGCACACGGGAACGTAATGACTTTATGGCGGGTTTTAATGTAAGTGTTAATACATACACATACACACAATATATAGTATAGTATATACCTCGTTTCCAATACATCCACACGTAATTCTCCTTTCATTGTGCACTTGGCATTGTTTGCTGATATTATTTGCAATCGTTGCAGACAATACCGCAATGAGTATTATAGTGAGTAGGATTGCTCCCATATTCAGTATACACATTATACTTGTGTAAAATCTCATCACCGACTATGCTCGCACTAAAATTAGAAAGGGAAATGTTCTATTTTGAATTAATAGGAGTGTGCACGAGTGTATTGCTTTATCTTGCGATTAACATTCAGATTCTTTGCAACGAAGAATGTTATCGTTCAAACATATTTTAAATAAAATTCGTCGATAGATTTTGTCAAAATAGATATAAATTTAAATCAAGAACTTTACAGTTATACGCCAGATGTATAAAATACATATTTTAAACGTAAATTAATTTTTTATATATAATATATATTTTTAACGCAAATTAATATACACAGATAATTCGAATTGAATAACAATTCTAAAATTTACATAGAATGCTACTTTGCATCACTGTATATACGAGTTATTTATTTAATTTCCCAATAAAAAATTTAAAAACTTAATGCGGAAGACATCTTGATCAGAAATCGAATTCGGATCTCCCGCATTCTGCGCAGTTACCTTCCCAATTTTGTGTATTAATTTATACGTTAAAACTATATATTTTGCACGTATATCTAGCTTATGACTGTAAAATCTTGATTTCATACTTGATAAAACCGTATTTGTTGTAAATATAAATTTAATATTCAAATGTGAATATAAATTTAACATTTTAAATAACCAAAATCTATACATATATAAAATAAAATGTAAAAATAATGGTTACATAGTATGTAAATGTAAAAATATATTGCAAAATTACAGTGTGTTACAAATGTTTGTGTATAAAGACAAGACTTTAGCTACATTATTTGCAAATTCAAAAGAAATGCTCTCACCATACTTGAAAAATTTTCCGTTTAGCGGTAAAATTTAGATGTTTCGGTCGATTTTCTTTACTCTCTCCTGAGGAATTTCGAGATTTGCAGTGTTTTTACTGAGACACTTGGACTGTTCAAACGGATTTCAACAGCTTGCGACAGCTTCTTGTGTTTTGCGATAGATTTTTTGCGTCATGAAACTTTGCTGGAATAACGAACACTACTTCTGCCAGCAGGATGAAACGTTGGTTGAGTTTACGATTAAGATAGACAGCTCTTTCACGCCGCTCCATTATGATACATGTGTAACGTGTTGCTGTTATTTACGTGTATTCCGGCGTGATTACTCTTTTGAACAGCAACGCGTATATTATAAATTATATATTATGTCGCTTAATAATACGTTTTACAGTGTGATGAAGAAACACCGGAAAGTAATTGCAGTTGTAATTGCAGTCAAAACAATAGAGAAAACCGTTACAAAATGATAATCATAGATCAGTCGCAAAAATATTATAATTGGTTTGATATTAACATATTAACATATTAACATGCCAAAACAAATTGTAAAATATATGTAATACATATGTATGTACGTCTTATATGTATATGTCTCATCAACAGCACGTTGAGTTTTATTGTTTTTAAACTAACATTAAACTGATCATACGAGCCAAATGCCTTCCCAATTCAGCGATTGCACGAAAAGCGAGAAATTCTAAGTTCCATTCCTGGTCAAGGTGTTATTTTTGCAATATTTTAAAATTAGATAGAAGGAGAAACGAGGAATTCTCATATATGCGATGCAAATCCAGCATCCTATATGAATTAAAGAATTAAATTTTCAATTAAAAAATTTAGTTTATACTGAAATAATATAAATATACATATACATTTATATTCGTTTCGCACGAACATCCAGCGTTTACTCTTAATGACCAGTTTAATGTTAGTTTAGAATTTTAAGAGCCTTACTTATTTCTTCGTTTATTGTTTTTAGTGTTTGTTATGTATTCAATAATAGTATGCGTGAACGAATGATGTGGTGGAAAATTAAATTATAGATTAGTTAGTTTGTACTTATTTGCAACCATGTTTCCACGTATTGAGTCGTTATCGAATATAGGTGGAAAAACAATATTGTGTATGAGGAAAAAGAAACCGTGCGCCAGATCAAAATGAAAGATTAATCGCGCTTATCTTTATAAATTCAATAAGTCATTATCACTTATTCGCTGTCGAGAATAATAAGGTGACAATTTGCATCACTCAAGCTGTTAAATACAGTGATGAATTGACTTATTAGGCAATACATAATGTTTATTTTCTTTTTAAAAATTGAAAAAAACAAAGAAATAAAATTAACACGTGCTTTTTCTTCGATAAAATTCGGAGTACTATTATTCCTAAAATTCTGCTGCTTAGTTATCAGAATATCTCAATTTATTGCTGGTAAAATCGGTGAACAATAATAATCTAATTAACGTGCATTAAAATGCATCGCGTGAAAAAGCATTCGATCACTCGGTATAGATAATAGACGGGGAATTACAAATGTCGTTTGTGATGTAGACGAAACGGAAATACCAAACGGCGCGATTGTCATGTATAAAAATGTATTTACGATTTACATAATATGCTAATGTAGCACATTTCTAGTGTAACGACGTAACGCTCGACGAACTCACGCACGCTCGCGTATCGACAACACATTGTCACGAAGCTTTTATCGTTTGCAACACACAGTGGGCTTTACGCCAACTCCCGATTCGTAGAACAAACAAGGAATATACGTTTCACGAACTAGCTTCACGATTTATTCTCATGTTCCGTAACAATATTTATGAGTGATCCATGCTCCTACAATTTTATAGCTGTCGATTTGAGTGCTTCATTTTTTCAGTGTTCAACTAACTGTTGAGTAACGTAAAAGAAATAACACTTTTTAAAAGCTTAATCGGTAAACAATAATCTAATTAACGTGCATTATATAGAATGGTGCAATCCTTTCTACTATTAATAATTAATGTGAAGAAACTAAATGTTTTATAGAATAAACTAGTTTATAATGCATATTATGGATACATATATAGATTAGATAGATAGATAGATATACACACACACGCGCGGGCGGGCGCACGCACACACGCACGCACACGCGCACACACACATACTGTACATAGATTGATGGTTAAAAATATTATCTATATACGTGACTGTAGCTTAAAAGTAATGAAAAAAATAAACAATATCAGTAAAAACAAGAACGTATATGTACACGTTAATGAAAGAAAGACATTGTCAGTAGTAAATATATCGTAATAGAACTTTTTGTGTGTGTATGTTTTGCTAGTATCCGAGTTAGATTTTTCTGTGTATTAAATTACAACTTTGAGCAATTGCATGGAATTCTTTCGTATATATTTCCACGCTATATATAAAGTTTCAAAACGCTATTTTCTGTCTAGAAAGAAAATAACCGGTAAAACTAATCATTTGTTTATAAAAACCAATATCATGAATTAGATAAGTGTTAATATTAACACAATTAATTTTATATTTTAAAAAAGTAAAGAAGTTTGATTTCAGTGTTAAATCTATCAATTTTTTCTCTTTTTTTCTCTCTTAGTTACAAACGGTTTTTGAATGTTATTGAAGCACGATAATTATTAATGATGTATGCATACTTCATTAATAATCGAAAACTATTCGAGAGAGATAATAATATATTAACATAATAATATTCTTAACTGTACAAAGTCCACAAAATTATATTAATACCAACGAGATATCTTAAAACACATTCTCTTACATTTGGCTCTGCGGTCGCTAGATCTTAGTCTCTTTTTTTGATATAAAGAGTGATACGTGCAACAAGCGTAGCGAATTTTGCCTTATATTCTATGTAACTATAACGACAATTTTATTGTTAACATATCATTACATAGCTAGTTTGTGATACATTTTGCCTGTGCAAAAATAATTAGTAACGCATGCGTTATATGTTTACCAAAGATTATACAGAATAGACCGATTACATAACGTTTAATAAAATAACAGTGAAGTAGAAAGTGTTTAGGAGTCCAATCGCATAAAACTCCAAACTTTCAAGGAGATCAGTCTTATTTTGAGCCTGCAAACTCATCTTCGTATACCGGTGTTTAATCGTTATATCACGATTTCTTCTTGTAGAATATCCTTTTGATATCTTCCTTCCTTTCCGCCGATACGAGCGCCAACGGTGTTTTACCCTGCCGATTTTGTAGGTTTGTTTGACCTCCGGCTTGTATCAAGAGCCGGCAGACTTCCTTTTGTTTCTCGAAGTTTACGGTATTCGAAACTGCTGCGGCTATGTGCAGCGGCGTGTTATACATATAGTTGGTCTCGTTCACGACGTTCGAAGTGGCTTTATTCAGCAACACCTGTTGAACGCAAGAAAAATTTGAGTGTAATTTGCATGGAAAACTGAATATATTGAATGACTCATGTCATAAATATATCTTCTTTCAGATATATTTGACTTTTTAAAAATTATTACAATATTTTCTATGAAGTTTCTTCTGTTCAGTGAGTTTCTTATTAATCGTTCTTATTCTTCGATGATAACTATGTATTTACCTTTATAAGTGCAGGATCGCAACTCAATGAGGCCGCCATGTGTAAAGCGGTGTCGCCACATTTGCTTTCTTTGACTTTGAGATCCGCACCGTTCTCAAGCAGCAGACGCGTCGTGGCCAAGGATTTGACGCCTCGCCCGACAGGATTGTGCGACTCGACTGCTATGTGAAGAGCGGTTCTTCCTAAAAGACAAACGTGTTCTCATTATTTTTCTTATCGGATTTACAGTCGCCCGAGTGACTTTTACGAGCTTTTCTAGTTGTTCTTCTCGTACAACTAACCGTCGTAATTGCATTTAGACAAGTTAAATACGGGATTTCCTTGGAGTGTCTTCAATGCTAACAATTCCGCTAAGACCTCCCCATGGGAATCACCACGAGCTGCGATTGAATGTATAAGTGTATCTCCCTGAAAAAAATAAAAAAAATAAAAAAAAATAATGATGGTTGTGAAAATTTTGTTTGTGAAAATGTTTCACCCCAGCAAACACAGATATATAACAGCAATATTGTTGTAATAAAACAGATTGTAACAATATAACATGATCGTTGCATGTAACATCCATGTTAGTTGTAATTTCCTACTCATTGTACATTGCAGTTATATAATATAAATATATTGTAACATGTAACTGTTTTATTACTATTAAATTGCAATTATACATTGATAAATAGTGTTATATAACAGCAATATAAAATTCATATAATATTTGTTATATAATCTATCACATATCTATTATATTGCTGTTATAATGTCATTACCAGCTAATAACAAGCAATATAATAGGTATATAACATGATTATATTAAAATTATAAAACAAAGTTATATATAACATCGATGTTAGTAGAATATAACAGCTGTTATATTACGTGTTACTTCTATGTTATATAGCAGTTACATTCTGTTTGCTGACTATTTTGTGTAAAATCTTTTTTTATCACAAAAAAACAAATATGCTAATTACATTCGTTCTTTTTCTCATTAGTATCGTTCCTCACCTGATAACTGTACGCAATTAGTTAGTTTTGGGAACGTGCACATTAACAAATGAGCGTGACGATAAGAATCATTTCTATTTGAAATTGTTTCGCTCGAAAACTCATATAAATATAAAGTAAAATAAAAATGTGTGCGCTTGAAACGCGAATATATGAAAATGATGGTATAAAGAGGAAATTATGAGTTGTGCAAAAACCGCTGTGCATAATAAGATATTACGAAGAGATGAGAAAACTCACGCGTAAGTGATACGATCTTTGATTAATATCGATCCCTTTCTGCAACATTGCGGCGGCCAGATATCCGGTAACATACGGCATTTCCGGACAATTCATAGCAGCCAAATATAAAGCGTCCTCGCCGCGATTATTCACCGTTGACAGCGCGCCTGACACGTTGCCCAGTCTCTCGACCAAAGGCGCTAAATACGCTTTTTTCTTTGCCATTTCTTCCGGATTGCCCACTAGACACATCAACTTCCTATTATGTGTAAATATCACATCGTTAACACACATAGATATAGATATATCAAAATACTAGAATTGATCATTCGAGAAACCAGATTCGCGAAGAAAAAGACAATTGTAAAAGGTGAACAAGTTTTGATTTTTTTTAACATTTCCTTGATTGTGTACTTTAAATGTCATGGTTACTCGACTATTTGTTGTTGTACTACGATTTGTATAGATTTGCATGCAGAATAAAACGAGTCACTTACGTATCACCGTCTTCGTCCGCGGCCGCTAGTTCCTCCACAGATTTCTTCAGTAGATTAGTCATTGCTCTTTCTACTTCCTTAGGATGCAATCCTTCCTTCAATCTCTCGCTCGCTCTTACGGATGGTAAGTTTAGCGAGGGCCACGGCATTATACCTCGATTCGAATTCCTGTCGTGATGAGTCAGATCACACCACATTTTTATCATTCTCGAGAATACAATAATTATTTTACTGCGAAATAGTGCGAAAATCATAGCACCTACAACTTTGTATTGTACAACTGTCTTTATTGTAAAAGTTGCAAATCAAAATATTTTTTTATTTACTTTTACAGAAAGAATGATGGCAAAAAGACCTGTTTTTTTACTTATTTTCTGGATCTCGAACTTCAAACTTTGTTTTATGCCAAATAGTACTATATAATTGGGTGCTTTCCAACTACGTACACAGGTAACTGTGTACGCGACACTGTGTAACACTGTGTCCATTAGTGTGAGAAAGAGCATATCAGTGTGTCTCACTCACACTAATGGACACTGTGTTACACGGTGTCGCCTGTGTACGTAGTTGGAAAGCACCCAATGTAACATTAATCCCAGAGAAATTTTAAGATAATCATAGCCACAATTCCGGGAATATAAAGGAGTGAAAGTGAAGGTTTTTCATGATCCATGAATAAAGTACACGAAACTCTCCAAGTGGCCATACCAAGGAATAAAATATATATAACAAAGTGTAACATATCGTTCTTATGGATTTTTTTATGCCGGATTCAAATATAACTTTAGTTTTCGTCTAGCATGAAAATTTCCCGAGATAGATGGAGTTGAAGTGACAACACTTAACATCGCCTCTCACGGATCGAGATGCTTTTCTACCGTGAGTCACCTTGCTTCTCACATTGAGGTAAAAAAGGAAAAAATTTACCATTTTTTGATCTTTTTTAATCATTACAACCTAAACATTTAGTGAAAGGCATTGCTTTATTGAAGAATCAACGATCGTCAAGATATGAAAAATATACCTGAAGAGACAAGAGAATCTAAGAAAAATTGGGATGAAACAAAAGAAAAGTAGCGAGAAACTCACTTCAGCAATTAACAAACAAGGAAATAGAGAACAAAGAATAGTTATAAATAGAATAGAATAAAATAGGTTAGAACAGTATATATGTAGATAAATTAATGGAATCTATTTCGTATGATAGTAAAATACTTCAACTGCGAAAGAAACTTGTGAATGCATCATGTAGCGAGACTTTATCTTTCAATTTAAGTATTTCCTCGGTAATTGAATTCTTTCAAAGACTTGGTCAGTGATTAATAGAAAATATATTTTCAGGGTGCTTTATAAAGCACTCCCCTCCCATAAATGTGTAACGATGCTAATCGTTACGGTCGGGACCGACCATCCGTCCCGACCCAAAAACGGCGCATTGCGCCTAATAAATTTATCAAATTGCAACGTGTACGATATACACGCTGTTTTTCGAACGCACCGCCCACCCCTGTTAAAGGGGTATTAAAGGGCTGTTTTCGTTCAACTAGATACGACGGAATAAGCTTCGACAAAAAAGTCGAACCGTTACAAATGAAATAGCGGTGAATAGTAGATCGTTCATTCTTTGAACAATGAATCATAGATGATCTATTCGACAGAATATACCCCCAATATTACATGAACTTCAGCCACGCATTCTTCCTTACAATACACCCTGACTGAAAATCATCACTTTCATTTCCTTGTATCTCCGGAACCACCCCTATGCTCATCTTGAAATTTTACTGGAATTAATGTTTCATCTAATGATACTATTTGCCATGAAAAAAAGTTTGACATTCAAGGTGCAAAAAATGGGCGAAATTTGTCATCACTCTATTGCTAGTATAATAATACTTATTTTGATTAATAAAAGTATTCTTCCAATAAATGATTTTGATATTCAAAAGTTATTTTGACTATATCAGTAATAAATTTTTATAAAGAAAATTAAAATTATGTATATGTACACACACACGCGCACGTGCGCACATTATTATATATGTACATATATTATATATATATATATATATATGTAATTGTGTATTACATAATTAATACGTAATTATCTATACATAATTATGGTAAATATACATAAAATGGTAGCAGCTTTTGATGACTTTGATTTTGACATATAGTATCAAGATCATGGCTCTGAACGATCTTTAAAAGATTTTAGGCGACAGTGGTCACAGTTTTCACTAAAAAGTTATTAGCAAAAATTGATATATCACTAAAATAAAATTTTTGTCATACATAAAACGTAATTAAAAAATAATTTGACGTGCAAGCCCATGTGGAACAGTACAGAATTATAGATCTCATTTTACTAAAAATCTCTTAAGCAGAGGGAGGTCCTTGTTTCATGTCGAAAGTCGAAAACTCATGTGAAACAGTACAATCATAGACTTCATTTATGGAAAGAAATGCGGTCAAATATTCCGCGATACGGTACACGAGTCATTATCGTTACCGTATAAATGATAGGATTAGGTGTGACATATTTCCGGATAAAACGAGATCCATTCTATCTTCCTTCCCTTTACAGGACACAGCAAAGTTTATAATTGTTCTATTCCACAAGAATTTTCGACTTTTCTCTCTCTCTCTTACGCAAAGCGAGAACTAACCGACACCTTCCCTTGCTTAGAGACAAAAAGAAGTCTATGATTATATTGTTCCACGTTCCAATTACGTTCTATGACAGCAATGTTATTTTTTTAATATATTTGTTGTTAATATCTTTTTAATTTTGACAATGACCATAATCTAAAATCTTTAGAAAATCATTCAGGTCCATGACCTTGATACCATATGTCAAAAGGTCATCAGAAGCTGCTCCTCTTTTATGTATAATTATCAATTATATGTAATTATGTATATATATTTAAAAATCACTTTTTTCGAAGACGTGTTTACTGTTTATCTATAATACTATATTTACATGTTTGTCAAAACTATCAATAACAAGCATGTTATTGGAAACTCACACAGGTTGTTTATATTACCACCGTTTCTCGCGCTATCGTTTGTTTTACATTACATCTGCCATTAGTGTTTATTATTCAATTACCGTAGAAATAATACAAATGTTTTGCACATTTAGTCAAAACAGAAAACGTGACGTATCTTAATTTGTTTGTTTTGAATCTACGTACAATAAACATTTATTGTAATATGATTAGTTTGTAAATTCTACAGAAAAACTCGATATTAAGTTATTAAGAAACAGAATTTATTAGTTCTGTTGTTCTTTTTATTAATGCAAATTACTTTTAACAACTTTGTAGATTCCGTCTGTATTTTTGTACACAAGTCCGTATTTATAATATGATTTGAATCTTGTTTCAAGAGCGTTATCAATTGAGTTTTTTAAAACTAAGATTTTAATAATAACGTTTACCTTTGCGGGCAGGTGGGCACGAACGAAGAGACTACCGTTGGTATCTGATAATCGGTAGACACCAATGTCGACGATAGATGATTGTATTTCTTTTCTTCGCCAGCTGCGTGAAACATCACGTACTTTTCCTGCGACGCGCGTAAGTCTTGATCGGAGATTTTTGCAGACTTGTCGCAATTTGGACCAATATTGCGCAAGATATTATGTTGCGACACATTCTTCACACTCGACTCGTAATATTTCTGTTTCAGATTGATCGTGTTTGCGGTGCCGTTAATGAAAGCACATCCGCTAGTATTCTCCTTACTTGTGTAGACCGACATGAAATCACCGTCAATGGGTAAATCACCGACGGGATTTGTTGCGATCATGCTGAGACAGACATTTGGCTTTTTATTACGTATATCATTCACAGGACACTCGCGCGACGTGGGATTCAAAATGTTTAAATTATTTTCCACCGTTTGCGCGCATTGGACATTGAACGACGACGACGACGACGACGACGACGACGACGATGACGACGGCGACGATGACGGCGGCGACGGCGACGACGACGACGGCGGCGATGACGACGACGACGACGACGACGATGACGATGACGACGACGACGACGACGACGATGACGACAGCGACGACGACGATGAGGACGACAAACAAAGCGTGCTCGAGACGACCTGGGGCTCTTTCTTCACCTTATCCTCCTCTATAACCTGCTCTACGAGCTGGAGCAGCGCGCAGTCGATGGTGTCGCTGCTATTGACAATCGTTCCTGAAGAGTCGTAGATACCTTTCCAACCGGATAGAGATTCGTCGAGCTGTTCCTCGATCTGATAATTCAAGGAAGTTTGATAGTTGAGCGGGCTTGATGCATCGCTGTACGATTGATTGGAAGAGGATGAAGAGGATAACGCTTGTGGAACACGATAAGTCGACGCGACCTACGGAAAGAAAGACATTCGAATTTAATCGAGCCACCTTTTATGTGAATCACATTTCTTATTTATGTCAGTAGAATGGCAACAGCGGCATAAATTTATATAACTTGTCAGACAGCTGTGTATTTTATGAGATTCGTCAAAAGATGTTTATGCACAACAGTTAAAACGCTTCGCGCGCTACATATTTGTCTTAGAGTTGGTTTTCAGTAATGAAACATTTTTAAGAATTACTTTTATATCGTGTTTATATTATATTCGCATGCAATAATGAATCTAGAAGACAAAATTTTGAAACTGTACCAGCTTTCATAAACATAGATAAATAGATGTGTTTAAAAGAAAGAAAGAAAGGAAGAGAGGAAGAGAGAGAGAGAGAGAGAGAGAGAGAGAGAGAGAGAAAAAAAAAGAGAGAGAGAAATATATAAGCATATTAAACAAAAAATAAATTTATTAATAATATCTTATTAATCTTTAATTAATAATTCAATTGTGGAAGTTATTTCGAGTAATGTTCGATTATCATTTTCTTAGATCGTGCTTAATAATGCAGTCGCTCGCGATACACAGCTCCGGTTTATTTGAAGCGCGCGGATTTCGCCGAAGCGCGCTGCTTGTACACGCATACTCATTAATGCAGACTTACCTGCGGTGAACCAAGCGGGCTGCCGATAACATTGACATGCATTTGCGGCGACTCCAAGTTCGTGGCAGAACCGGGTGACTGGGCGCGACTCGACGCCCGACTGTTCGGTCTAGAGACAACGTGGTTGTAGCAACTGCTCGCCGGAGAGTCGGACCAAGTTTTCGCATTTGGCGATGGGATCGAGTGACTGCTGGCGTCTAAGACCACCGCAGCCTGAAAGCCGCCACGCGACAGGATGTCCATTAAGGATTCCTCACTTGCTGGATTATTGACGACTATGGAGGGAAGTTCCGCGGTCTGGAGTGTGATAAATCCTGTTTTAACGCAACTTCGACGCTACCTATTTGCGTCATTGCCTCGACACAAACACTCTTTATGTTTATTAATACAGTGAATATATATTTATAACAATACATATTGGTGACGTGTATTTACCAGCAATTACAAAAATTAATGAATATTTTATTAAAAAACTTTTAGTAGAACTAAAATAGTATATCTTACATAAATAATTAATATCTAACAGAATTTTGTAAATAAATTATTGTCATTCTAATTATAGAATGAATATCAACGCTTCAATCTTTTATTTTTATAATGTAACTAGAATATGTATAAAAAAATTTGATTCTATTCTCTCTCTTTAGTGTATTCAAATCTTATTTATCACGCAATAATATGTTTTAACGTGATATCACAGTTATATTCCAGACAGCACACAACATCCACATTGGACGTTCAAATTTGAGTCTTATTGAGTCGAAACGTCTATAAACATTATATGTATGTTTTAAGAATGTACATTGTTAGATATACAAAGTGTATTTACATTTGAATGTTTTAAAAATGTCTATCTTATAGCCATTTTGTTTTGATATACATGCTGCGCAATATTTTTCAGTCCCGTCTTTTCTGCTAGAGAGAAAAGTTATATCTCCTGACATACAATCATGTTATGCATTCCGTGTCTGCGAATTCTGGGACCACTCTGTGTAGCTGCGCATTACTACTTTAAATTTGTTTTTAATTTTTTTAAGTAGGTTGACATATTAATTAGGGAAGAACGGGACACAATACTCAGCGAGTCGGATCGATCATCTCAATTACAAGAAAGAATGATATCTCTAATCATGTAGTTGGCGATTTATTTGTATTAAAAAACCTAACTGCCAAATACATGATTAAAAATATCATTTTTTCTTGTAATTGAGGTGATCGGTCTGACTTGCTGAGTGTTGTGATCCCGTTTTCTCCTATTTAAATGTTATTTTTAATGTAAATTAGAGTTTATTTGTTACTATCTTATGTGTCTATTTGAATTGGAAAAAATATTTTAAATAGATCCATTTGTGGTCCATTGTGTACTTAAAATATATAATTTTAAAGGGTCCAGAAAAATAACACTGGATGTCTTTAGAATATCCTAAAAATGCTTGAGGATCTAATCTGAACATTTTAAATATGTACAAAACGTTCAATGTTTTTAATGTTTTTAATGTTTTCAACCTATGTTTTTAATGTTTTTAAAACATTATTTTGCTATCTGGGATATTATTAATTATATAATTAAAATCATTATTAGAATGACAATTGTGTAACAATCAATTTTCTACAATATTAATAATTTAATAGACTTACATCGGTGCTGAAATTTTCATTTCGAAAGATATTGCCGTTCTCTCCGGTCCAAACAGGGTCTAGATTCTCTATAGCACCAATCGTTGTTTGATTTCGATTCGAGTTTGTCAGTTGATCCAAACAAGGAGTCAGTTTTTCATTGTAATCTTTGTTTCTCAATATCTGCTCGGCGGTCTTGTCGTAATCCACTGAGTGACTTATGTCTGCGCAGTCGTTCGCGCGCATTAGCCAACTCACCATCGAGTAAGGATGTCCTCGAATGGGCTGATAGTCTGGCTTAATCGGTCCTCGTTCGATCAAGCCAGAATCATTGGATTCTTTACCGTGTCGATGATCTCGCTCGATCTCCGAATCATCGTTCAAATTATTCTGATCATCCATAGAACGATGGTATTTCTCATTGTGTGATTTCTTGTATATATTGAACGGCAAACAACCTTCGTTGTCATTGACCTTTTTACTGTCATTTTCATTATTGTTCAAATCTTCGTTGTAGAGATGTCGACTTTTTTGCGATTCATAGCTGTCCCGGTGCTCCACGTTGTACAAATTCTTGCCGACATTCTCGTTATCGTCATTGACGTTATCACATGAGAGTTGCAGATTTTCGATCTGCTCGATTATGTCGTCGAATTTGTTCAGCTTCATGCGGAAGTCCTCCTCAATGTCAAAATTTTTGTCTGCGTCCGCGCTTGAGCGACAAGAAGTGTCAGTAGATATGTCCTCGGACTCGATTGATTCATAATCCTCTTCTAAAGAACTCACGGACGAACAATCCGGAATTGAAATGCATCGCAACATCCTCTTCTCAGTTTGGATCGACGTGACTCGACTACAGTTTGCCATTGTAGCAATTTATTTGGGTTTCTCTCAATTCTGTAGTAATTTTATAATTGCTCAAAAAAAAAACATCTTGATCAAGTAGCTTTGACCGTTTTCGTGTTTTGTCGTCAGTTAGTATTTTTGCCTTGAAAATCTTCTTTTCTGTATAAAATAGTAACAGTATATATATAAATTGTGTGTGCAGATCGAGCAACAAAAATAATTTTTTAAAATTTAAATATATATATATATATGTATATATATAGTGCCCGTCAAAAATTTCGGACCATCTAAATAACTTCTGAATGGTTTAAGATATTGGATTGAAATTTATAGGGATAAAATGAAATCACAAAATCTATTATTTAATCACAAAAATACCTATCTCCACACTACCGGGGGATGTGGGGAAAGGAGGATCGGAAAATCTTAAATGGCATGTGAAGTAGAGTGAGAGCTCATTTGAAAGGGCTTTCCGAGACAAGAACAACGCGTTATCGAATCTCTACGATTTTTTGTCGCAGAGTTATGATCATTTAAACATTTCGATTGAGTTTGCGATAGAGCGGCTCACAGTGAGAATGTCAGGAAGATAAGGCTTCACGCGGGCACGCGTTTTTATGTGAGTAGAAATGCATGTAGAGGAGAGAGAGAGTGTGTGTGTGTGTAAGTGAGTGAGTAAATGTGTGTGTGTGTTTCTTTAAGAACTTTATGAGTACGGCAGCACTTTTTGCGGCAAGAAGGATTTGAAGTCGTGAAATACTGTGGAGCTGACAAACTACAGGGTCCTTATTCTTGCGGCAAACACTTACACACTCAAACTCCTTCTCTTTCTCTCCTCTAAATGCACTTCTACTTACATAAGAAACGCGTGCCCGCGTGAAGTCTTATCTTCCTGACATTCTTGCTGTGAGCCGCTTTATCGCGAACTCTCAATAGAAATGTTTAAATAATCATAACTCTGCAAAAAAAATCGTAGACTTCGATGATCCTGCGTTGTTCTTGTCTCGGAAAGCCCTTTCAAACAAGCTCTCATTCGACCACATGCCATTTAAGATTTTCCGATCCCTCTCTCCCCCCGCTCTCCGGTAGTGTAAAGATAGGTGTTTCTATGGTTAAATGATAGACTTTATCCCATTTTATCCCTATAAATTTCAATCTAATATCTTCAAGCTTTCAGAAGTTATTTAAGTAGCCCGGAACTTTTGGCGGGCACTGTATATACATATATATATATATACACGCAAAATTCTTTTATATACAAATCTATAAAACAATTTAACATAAAAAATGTATACAAATTGGTAAAAAAATTATTGTTACTAAAATATTAACAAAGTATTATAAACGTACATTATTTTTTATATAGAAAGTATTATATTATATAAAGACACACAGAAAGAATATTATTTGTATATGCAAATGCGCACATTCCGAAATCATGTTTTTTAAGATCGCATAATTATTTATGGAACAGTTGGCACATTTGCGTCATAATAGCGCAAGTAAGACGTGGATGTCTGCTAGACATAAATACTTTTCATTATTATGCGTGTTGATATCTATTTCTTTTGTTGTTGAAAGCCTTATCGTACGATGGTGTTGTTTATTAAAACCGCGCATTATACATCTAAGAAAAAACATACGCATTATCTTTGAAAAAAGTTAAGTATCAAAAATATACTTTTAAATGACATTTAAAAAAAAAGATAAAATTAGTAGTTGTTATAAAAGATAATATTAATAGTTACATCTGATATTATATAAAGTTTGCGCAAAAGTTTACAAATTTTGAAACGTATATTACTCAAGGTATTGAGATTTTTTTGTTAAAAAATGTTAAAAAAACTTAACCCATGATCTTAAGACAACAAAAAAGACTATATTAATACTCAATTGTTTTGAAATCGACTGTAAAGTCTGTTCAAATAAATTTCTGATTAATTTTAATTAAATGTTACACTCTTAAAAAGTAGAGAGAATTATTAGACATAAAAATAAAATTATTAACCGTTTTTGAATATTACAATTTTCTTGATTGTGCAAGATATTATCATAATTTATCTCGCAATATACAATATAAAATAATGCGTCAGAAACGACAGGGCGTGACTCATTTAGGCGTGACAATGTCAAATATATATCATGGATTCGATTGATTATATATCGAAAACGTTAATGGACCGAATTGATGAAATCAATTGTGTACAGTTGTCTATTTGATTGTTCAAATAACTTTGTTTTAAAAAAAAGATACGTTTTGAAAAAATTCAGTCATTTGTCAGTCATACAATATCATACAACTGTCCAAAAAATTTCAGGAATTTTCAATCGAGTTTAATTTATATCGTCTAGTTATTTACATTTAAAAAAAAATACATTATTCGTTGCTCGCGTTCAGTTTTAGATTGCAAACCTTTCAATCGGAGGTCACGATCTCGAGCCGTAAATCATAAAAATTTGATTACCCCAAATGTGTTTCCAATGTAATGCTGGATTTTTGTACCAAAATAAAGATCCGATCATGATGCGTAGCTCTCAGAAGCAAACAATGAACGAATATAACAAACTTTAAGTAAACTTCTGCAGAACTTCATCTCGAATTCCTAAGAAGTTGGCACTTATACAATAAAGCGCAGACGTCGTCGCGCGAAATAAACTTCCACAGTTGTTGGAAAACCGCTGAGTTTCTCGGTAATCGTGTAAATGAATTTATTGACAAAGATGAACGTTCTGTCCCGACCGTATATCCCGTTCTTGCCATCATCGACATACACACGCGCGCGCGCGCGCGCGCGTGCGCAATATACATCTCACGTCACAACAGCGACGACGCATAAAATTACGCTGCATAACAAAGTTTTTTACTGAAATACAAGATTCTTCTACAAGGTAGAAAAAACAATGTAATAGCTTCCGTTTGAGTTATTAATATTCTCTTGATCGGTTGCTTGCTGATAACTTTATGAATAACAAAATATATCGTAGAACTAAACTTCCAAAGAAAGATAAGAAAATATTGATTTTTATTATATCTTAAATTCACAACATTGCAATATCGTGGATCGATATTTTAGATTGGCGTAAATATTTCAATTTAAATATTGTTGTAAATATTTATAATATAATATTTGTTATATTTATATATAATATTTGTTTTTAGAAAAAGAAACTATTTGTATGTATTATAAAAGCATTCGAGATTCAAAATTTCTTTGATTGTACATTTTGACTTCAAGAAGACTTAAAGAACACGATGTTTATATGATTATTACTTTTTTTGCAAGAGCTCGAGCTATTTCTGGTCGCAAAAGTCTGACTCGCAAAAAGTCAGTGTGTCTATTCATGGATGTTAGAACAATTTAAAAAAATGTGTTTTTACTGATGAATCAACATCGCTTTATAGAGAGTAATAAAAAGTACAATAATATTGCAATTAATTACCTCGAGAATATTTTCTAATGTCGAATCGATGTCGGCGGTGTGACAACCGCGCTTTTATATTGTCTGGCAATATAGTTTTCAAATTTGTTAAAAAAAAGAAGTTTCACTTAAAAAAAACAAAAACAAGAAAAAACATAATACTAGACAAGTGTCTTGCCTTTCACGCAGACTTCAAAAGTGTTTAAGAACGCAACTTGTTCACGCCGGCTCGTACGTTACTACGCCGATCTTGAATCGATCGCAATCTTATCGATGTGCGATATTCCACACTTCACGACGTTTGTACATATCTTTATTTTTTCTCGTCACATGTTCTTCCAGGTATGGAACGTCCTCCGCAAGTTTTCCAAAACGTTCGTTTTATGCGCGTTATTAACAAGCTCTCTCTATCTGGCTTTTATGAGACTTTATTCTAATAAAGGTTCTTATCTGTCACACGCACTTCATTGTTATCTCGTCTTGCGAACGGATGAGCGCGAGTTAACTCGTTAATTCGGAAGTTCTCGATTCTCTTCTGGCACAAGCGAGAAAATTGTCACGAAAAATGGCAAGGCAATGTACAGCGAGACAAGATCCGGCGAGATCCGGACGCAAAAAGAGAACTCGTTTGCGATTCTGCGAACGATTCACACACACACACATACACACACACACATGCGTGCACGTACGCACGCATCAACACATTATTGCGCGTACACTCGCGTGCTTCGATCGGAGTCAGATCATGAGTGTCGCTGTATGCATCTTCGACGACCTTCAACGTTTCACCGCGCGCGCCTCTAATATCGGTCGAACACACACGGACTTCTTATCTCCAACTGCGACTTTTGTCGACAGCAGCGGTAATCTCAGAAGCCAGAAAAACGCGTTCTCTCTTCTTCCTCTATTTTTTTGTCTATCGTCCGTTCTCTCGTTGACACCAAAGAGCAAAGGAAACTGCTGTTTCTTCTGGAATTTCCGTGGTCTCTCGCCGTCTTTTTTAATCGCGCGCGTATTTCCCAGCGCACGCCTCTATCAAGGCTGCGCACAGCCGCAGCACGCGCGCACGCAAGAAGACGCCGTGTGTAAGGCGGATGATGCGCGAAGGCGATTCTGCTTTCGCGAGTTCTCGGATTTTGCGCCTTTTGAAACGAGACTATATATAACAGTGATCGCGTGTCTTACGCGTGTTCGAAGGCGAGAGTCTCTGCGCGATATCAACTTGCCTATCTGATCACGAGCGATACTCGCGCATGACTACGCGGCTAGCGAATCACACGCGTGCCGACGACCCGATGCAAACGCGCTGCACCGCTCCTTACACCGTCCGTGGCTTCCGTCGATGGCTTCCGTCACAATCGCTTTTGCGTATACCAGTAACGTACTTATTTCTTGTACATCAGCATATGTTGTGAAAAAAGGATATTTTATGCATTTCGATATTAAAAATAAACAACAACTGTATATGGCAAAGAGCCACAATAAAATCTACATATTACATTAGGAATTTATCAATCATATTTGCGCTTAGGTTTGTTATTTTGTTGAGCTCTTTTTGTTATCAAATTTTTTGTTTGTTTACATAAATGTTGTAATGACATATGTGCAGTAACTATCTTATAGATAGTTACTGCACATATTCGTAAAAGTGTTATTACGTTATTTACTTCAAATATCTAATAATAGTTTCAGTACGTACATATGGATATGTTGTAACCTTCAAATATGTTATAAATATATCCAAGAATGTTTATCATACACTGCGAAATATCTACGCTATGCATATGTGAATTGATTTTGTCTCTTTTTCTAATATAATATTATTTAAAACGATTCTGGAGTCTGAACAAATAAAAATAAAAATTTGCGACATATGTGCAGTAACTATCTTATAGATAATCTTATAAATTATAAACATTCTTGTGGATATATTTATAACATATTTGAAGGTTACAACATATACATATGTACGTACTGAAACTATTATTAGATATTTGAAGTAAATAACGTAATAACACTTTTACGAATCATCAAGTGACTACGGTCGTGAATCGGGACCATCATTGATACGCATGCGTTGTGGATGATGTCATCGTCGTTCACGTCGTTCCTCAGATACATTCGCCTTTACATCGTATATTTCAGTGTATTTCTTGCTTACAAAGTTGTACACGCACGACTGATCCACTAAACACACACTTCTCAAACGTGTACTATGCAATATATTTCTTTAACTTTATATTGTGGACTTTTGCGTCAACCAACAAGATGTACTTAAAATATTCTTTAAAAAGAAGAACAGAAAAAAAGTTGTAAAAAATAACAGCTTGCGTATGCATATTAAAAACATCAAAAAATATCAATAACAAGTATTTCTTAAAATCAGTACAGATACTAATTGTAGAAACAGAGTAAATATTTTTACAGATATTGGAGAAACAATGTTGACATTTATAAAATACACATAATTGTAATTAAAAAATACGCTTTCTTAGTCTTACAGTAACACACGTATAATGTAGAAGTTTGCTGCATTTCGAAAAAGAAATCGCGATACAAAATTGCAGCAGATACATTTTTTTACGACTATTTAGAATAAGACGTAATAGATGCGCCACAAGTCGAAAAACTTGAGATGCGACAGCAATAAAAATTAAATAACGAAGCAATAATAAAAATGATAAAAAACACAACAATTATTCGTTCATTTCTTCATGAAGAAAGCTCTGTAATAAACAGTTTGTATCAATAATGCTATTGAGCATTAAGTTTATTTGGTTTATGTGAGCGAGCTTCAAAACTTTATAGACTTAATCATGTACATACAAATCAGCAATTGTAGAGTTTTCTTGAATAGAGAGCAGTCTTTTTATTATCTTTTTCTATCGGTATACGCACATAACGCTAATCTTATTTTGTCTTTCGACTATTGAGTTCGCTCATCGACTATATTCCACTTAGAAAATAGCACCAGATGCGACGCATCTGCTCTACAATAAATGAGAAAAAAAGACGGAGAGTTTCTGACTCATCAAAATGGTTTATTTTTGCCGACGATTTTTTTCTGTTCCTCCTCAACACATATGCGACAAAAGCTCGATATATTTATCTCCGATATGAAGTTTATTTTTATTTCTTATTTTTTTGTAAATTTGCCAAAGTGACAAACTTTACGACAAGTTTTGTGTTCAAAAAATCTGTCTTGCGTAACATGAGCACATTAATTAAATTCTCTTTGATTTTTCCTTTCTCTTTCTTCTTTTCTTCTGTTTCTCTCACGCTGGTAAATCATATCTTTTCTCGTAATTCCACTTCCAAAAGAGGCCAACCGGTTCGAATTGCGTTCAACATCGAAATGTTTACAATGTTTGTATGCCACATTAATCATGATCTTTGCTCAGTTGAATGCCGATTATTATCAAAAATAAACATAAACAAGTAGCATAGTTAAAGATGAAGAAGCATCAATACTCTACACAGAAAAATGCATACTGCATTTAAGGTAATACAGTCGAACCTTCCAAAACGTATACTTCCCTTATTCCCTCACTCTTCAATTAATTCCCTCACGCATGCGCAAAGACTTATTTGGTATAAATTCATCTGGCACTAGCGTAGTTGTGTGCGTGCGTGCGTGCGTGCGTGCGTGTGTGTGTGTGTGTGTGTGTGTGATTGTAATCATACTTAGTGGTGGAAAAAGCGATGAAGAGGAAAATATACGTTTTGAGAGTGAATTTGTATACGTTTTGGGAGTATATATTTTGGGAGGTTTGACTGTACTTGCATAAAGAGATTTTTTTATAAATATGCTAAAATTTTAAATACAAGTAAATTTAAGTGTTGTAGTGTTTTCTATGTTGTTATGCAATTAGAAACTTATTGACCCTCTAGTTTTTAAGATAACTCTCTCTCTCTCTCTCTCTCTCTCTCTCTCTCTCTCTCTCTCTCTCTCTCTCTC